ATATTCAAGTACCGAAAAGCTTTCTTACTATCATAGCTACAGTAATGTTCAAATGTGCACGTGCTCGGTTGAACGAGAGTGACCACCAAAAAGGATGAGATAGTTTACGGACGAAGTTCACGCTGCTGACCCCACGGTTTATTCGGCACAATAAACACAAAAGTACGACTGCAATGAAACATAAACAAAAATTTGAAATAAAAATATATTTATGAAACAAATTTAAAATGTTTTTATGTACATATATAAACATGAAATCCTAGTTAAAAATAAAAATACTCATTTATTGTTTAGGTTTATTTACAAATATTATTTATGGGTCTGTATATTACTTGAAACCATAAGAAGTATACGTGATTATTAAAAAAATAAAGATAGATAAAATTTGCATTTTATGGAGGATACAATTTTTGGGGGATTTCAAAATAATGTACTAAAACATTAAAAGTAATAAATTCAAATCTATAGCAAATATAAATATTGTATTCATTTCTTATAAATATGATTTCCTAATGTAATTTTTCAAAATATTAAAGATCATAATGCAAAAAAACTAAATTTATTAAAAGTAATAGGCTTCATGTTTTTTAAACTACCTACATTTGTCAAAGTATTTATGAATTTTCGAAAATATTCGTCCACTAGTTTTATTGTTGGAATGAAATATAGCAAGACTTGCATTGCCTACTAAGAAAGTTGGTAGCTGGTAGTCATCGGGTTAAAGAAATGTGGTATTTATTGTTGTAGCTATTTTCATTTTTTAAAATATATAACTACTCTAATTTTTAGGCCTATGTGACGAACATTCATGATGATGAGGTAACTGTAGCATTTGAAAATGAGTAAGTATACGTAAACTCTTTGTAGTTTTTTTTGTTTTTTATTGCTGTTAAATATTTTGATTTTTTTCCAAAGAAGTTTAAACATGTTGGCATATTATTCTGTACTGTAGGAAACTTTTCTAGAGGTAGTCTTATATGTTTGAATAATATAGTTAAAGAGTTTATAACTGAAGAGAGAAAGTAAAATGTTAAAATATTTACAAAATTTTGAAATATTTGTTTTTCAGAAGAAAACATCTTAAAACTACCAATAAATATAAGTGTACCATGAATGATATTTTGTAGCAGATCATATGTAGATAGAATTTGGATTAAAACATGTTCATACAGATATCAGTGTATGTGAGAATAATGACTTGAAAGAATATTTACATCTTGTGCAGCAGATAATATTTTATAGAGCTGAGTAATTAGTTGGATTTGATAATTGAGTAATTGTTAGGTTTATCAATTGATTACATTCAATTAACTGATTATTCTCACCTGAGACTAATCTTATTTTTTAGCTTTTTTCTTTGAAAGATATTTTGAATTACCTTTCATTAATATGATAGATATCTTCAGGTATAAGAAGTTGGGATTAAGCTATTTTTTTAATCCTAAACAATTTTACTAGTTTCAGCCATAAGCTTACATCTTCTATCAGTTAATTGAATAAGTTTCATTGTTGGAAGGAAAATTATTTTTCAAAAAAATGTTCAAGAATACACAAAATTTGACTTACATTCTTCACAGAAATAATTTAAATATTAGTGCTAGGTACGTTTTTATTTTTCTAAATTACTGAAAAAAATAATATTGCATTTGACTGTTAATTTTTATATATATATATATGTTTGAAACTGTTCAAAGTAATTACTCCATCTAGCAAATTTGCTGTTTTTTCCATTGTTGGTCAAATCTTGGTCAAGTTTATGATTTTCTATGTGCATAACTACACTTAGGTGATCACACGTGGATATTTTTGGTGAAACTTCACTGTAAATAGGGACAGTAACTTTAAAAGCACATACTACTTGTTAGAGATAGAGACAAATAAGATTATGATGAGTCTGAAAAGTCATTATTTTATACATAAAATATTGTAGTGGGAAGTGTTTCAACAAACTATTATTTTGAATCAGCAAAATGCCAATTCCACACATCTGTATCCTTTTTACTCATTGCTTAGTAGATAAAAACAAATTCTGTGTTTGAGGTAATATATGCAAGGAAAATTAGGGTAGGTAAGTAGGATTTGGTTTTTCAGTTGTTGTTTTTATTAAACATTATTGCACTGCATTCTGGGCATATTATTATCAAAATAGAGAATGTTTTTCATGCATTCTGTCACAGAGTTGGTAGACTTTATATGTAGGGATGGCCATGGTACTCAGTAGGCATAATACAAATATTCATGCTAAAAAATCAACAACAACAGAGAGTTTTACTTTAAAAGATGATTGTCACTAACTTTTATTTGTTTCTCTGCCCAATAAGGCAAGAAACCATTGCTAAGAAAGTGACCAACCCACCAAATTGTTCATCTTTTTTCTTGTTTCAGTCAAGATACCCTACAACTACTTTATCTATAACATCAGTTTAATCCTAAATATATTCTAAGTGTGTTTTTGCAGTGCATGATGTCATCTCTTAGTTGTAATAACTTGTAGTAATTTAACAAAAAATCATAATTGTTGTGTAAAATGTGTTATCATATACAAATTTGGTGTTTTTTTTAAAAAGCTTAAGTACAGGGTGAAACAGGATTTACCAGCCAATTATGGATTAACATTAGATGAGTGTAACATGTAGAATACTCAATGCTTTGTACACTATACAACTGGTGTCTTTTGGGAGCCAACCCCTATATTATGTATGAAGAGGAGTAAAACAAAATCAATTCACATATATTAAATTTTAGTACACACATTCATAGAATACATTAACTTTCTGTCAGGAAGAAGTGTCACAAAACAAGTAATAAAAACATTTTTTAAATGTAAAATGATGTAGGGATAGCACTACCAACAAGAATATAGGGAGGATGCAGCTGTACATGGATCATTCCTGTGTGACTTTCAATATTAGAATTTAACCTTACACTGTAAAATGCATACTATGCAGTTTGTTTATCATAATGTCATTGTCATGTCAGGTTAGTGTAAATAAGAGCCTAGGACTTATGTAGAAGGAAAACCAAGTTAATTCAAAACATGTCTTGATTACTGTAGACTATTACAGACTCTCGCTACAAGGTTGGTTAATTTGACTGGCCTCATAACCATTTCATGCATTTTACAATGAAAGATTAAATTTTAATATTGAAACTCGTATAGGAATGGTCTATCATCCCTATATACTTGTTTGCATTCTTTTTCTCACTGCCATTCCTACATCATTTTACATTTACAAAATGTTTTTTTTTATTTGTCTAATCATGAAGTAACTTACTTTCAGTTTTTTTAGTTTCATATTTGTTCTTTTAACAAATATGTGTTGTTTTTTCACTTATTTTAGCATGTTTACTTCTCATAAGGCTTATGGATTATCAGCTGAAGTCAAATTCACTTTTTAATAATGTTTATTAGTTCTTTATGGATTTATTATTCATTGACATATGTTAAATATGTCATTATACATTTTCAATACAAACTACCGAAAATTCAAATTGATAAAATAATAATTATTAAATTAACTAAAACTTAATTAATAATATAAAGATTGTAAGCTGCTAATGTTTCTGTTTCATAGTAATATGTAGACATTGTTGAACTTTTAAACTCTTTAAGTTGTAGTGAAAGAAAAACTACTTTCAGAATGTAACTTTATTAGCTCAGTATCTCACTATTAAAGCTTCGTAATGAGCAGTCGATATCCTACAAGTTCCCTGATCCAGTTAAATCTAAATTGGAACACTGTCATTTGAAAATCAAACATAGATAAACATGTTTAGAAAGTTTATAATAGCTGTAATAATGAAATATGTAGCTAATAAAGTTACATTCTGGAGGTATAGGTTGTGATTTTTTTTACATTTATAGAAATGTCTCATAACAAATTTCAGTTTGCATTAAATGATTTTAATAATAATAAAAACTACTTTCCTTTGAATTGTATATATATACTTTTATCTTTTTAATATTAATCACAAGATAAAATAATTCCAAGTTTTTCAAACTTTTTTTAAACAACATATTATATCTTGATATTTCACAAACTGAGCATCTTATAAGTTTAACTCTTCAATAGAGTAGATTTATAATTCTGTGTACTTTGAAAAAAAGAAACAAAAAACAATAGAAACAAAGGAAGTTTAATTGATTACATTAATTAGTGTCATGTAAACTAATCAAAAATTAGTATTTCTGACTATTACTGTCTTTGATTATTCCAACAGTAGATTAATAAAAAATCTGATTATATCAATTGTCACAAAAATAATCAACTAGTCAAAATCGTTGTTTGTGTTTTTGATTATTCCAATTATCCAATCACTTGAAATATTTCAAACTATTTTTCCCTGTCTTTGTTATGGCAAAACTGCTAAGCATATCTTCCACTGTCACTAAATTTGAACTGCTGACCAGTTTTTGTCCTTTTTTTTTTATTTTTGCTAGCTTGCTTATATGTACCATGGTTTAAGGAACACTGTACTAATAAATTAATGGGACTGGGGATTAGGAAATACCACTAATCATCTAGCTCTAAACAAGAGAACACTCCCTGGTCATAACATGTAAAAATATGTATGAGAGGCCTACTAATACCTGCAGGTGAAGCTTTTTCTCTGATTGAGGAAGCTCATTATTTAGTAATAGATTAAGTGAGAAACACGTTGTCAAACATATGAGCTAAGTGCTACTATACTTAGTAGTAGTATGTAGATCCTTGCATGTTTCAACTTATATTGAACAATTGAATAACATTGTTAGAGATTGTTACTTTAAGCAACTGTTACTGAAACAGGCAATGCTGTAAGAAAATTAGTTCCAAATTCCATATGTTGGTAAACAAAAACTTAAAATTTATACATAAATACTGGGAAGCAATATAAAACAAGTTGCAATAAATTATCCACTGAGGCTTATTAGCATGTGAATTTGTTATGATCATAACATTGTTTTTTTGTAAAAATAATAATTAGAGATCACAATAGCAATATTTCAATTACATGAATAGTTTTAAACCCCAATTTCAATTAGTTTATTATTGCTTTGAGACGTGACACTAATTGATTAAGTTGAATTCTTGAATAATTGGAATAATTATTTTAGGTGACATTAATTGATAATTGGGTTAATTGCCCAGCTCTTGTTAATTTTGTAACCTAGAATATACAGTTATTTTTTTATTGTTTATTAGATTTTTAGTTGGTGTAATTAAAGTTAGAGCCTGCTAAAAATGTATTGTATATTAGCATTAAGTTAAATAAAACTGAAGACGTGTTTTTAGATATGATATTAATAATTTTTTCTTACTAAAGTGATTTATTTGAAAGCTGGCAGCCTGAAAGTAAATTCCCCTTTCGAAGAGTCAGGCTTCCTCCAATACCATTAAAGGAAGGAGAAAAATTAGAATTAACTGAAGGGCAGGAAATTGAGGTAAAAAATGTTTATTATTTTTGTATTTTTTGCCATGATCTTGTGAGGCTTATTTAGTCTTTTGGCTTTGTATATGTGATTTTTGGAAGATACTGCTGTTGAGACAAAAGTTTGTCTTGGATTAGGTAATTGGTAGGAAGAGGACTAATAAAAAAGGTACCATTTGCTTTTTACTTAAAAAGTATTTTTCACATCATGATCATGAACACTTCTGATATCTTTCTTCCACTCTCAAATAACTTTTCTCAATTTATACTGCCCTCTATAGGCACAAACATTTGCTCACCACTGGCCTTGGTACTCCCACTTACTCTTGTGTGTATTCACATGAGACATCTGCATGCTATTGTGCAAATGATCATGCAGCAACCAATAGGAGTTTCACACAACTCCTATCATAACCAGCACCCTCACTTCCGTGCGGCCCGTAGTCACTTCTCAATTGGTAGTCCTACTAATATAATGTGTTTTCACTTGTGCTTACCTACTGATTGTTTCTGTTTTTAAAATCACATAAATTACTTTTGTATCTTTGTTTTTCATTTATTAGTTCATCAGTATTTGCTCCAGTTTTGAGTTTTATTCCAAACATATTTTTTTCTATCTTTTCTTTGCAGGGGCACTTTTCATGTCTCAGAATCTTACTTTGTAGCGAGTGTTGCCTGACCAGGTATACTTATTCATAAATCTGCACTGTAAGACCTTTGTTGAGATGGGGTGTTCCGCTTGACTGCTTATAGGTATTCCTCATGGTATTTTGCTTTATAAAGATGTTCACTCTGGACCATACACTCATGTACTAACATGAGTAAAGCAGATGGAGATTGTTGCCCATTCCTGATAATCTGTGTTGTAGTTCACTGGATTGACCTGCTTTTCTAAGTAAGGTGTTATGGTCACCCATTGCACTATCTCTGTTGCAGTGTCCTTCTGAGCTCTCAAATGCACCATTTCCCCCCTTCTAGTAGAGTATGGAAGCCATTGCCACTTACCAATTCTTAGCCTCTGGGATGGTGGACCATGGAGGTTTCCTCCTGAGTGTACCCAATCCTACTCAGTTGAAACTAGTGTGGTGGTGTTCGGCTAGTGTGGATGGTGTTGGTGCTCATCCTACCATGGACCTGATGTACAATTCCAGATGCAGCTGGGTGATGGATAGTGCATTGGGCCAACATGCAGTTCACCCCTCCTGCTGAAACACTCTCCTTCCTACCATCCCCCAGATGTCGGTTCCTGGTGGATAAGGTGGAGGAGCTGGACCAGCCACACAAGTCCTCACATTTGTGGCTGGATACCTATTTTATTACCACAGACAAGAGGATACATTACCAATCCTACCCGGTGATGGATTGTAGATGCACTCCCACTTTGGTGTCCACCTTCCTACTGTCCCTCAGATGTTGGTTCCCAGCTGATATGGTGATTATTGTGTTGGATATGTGGACAAAGATGCAGATCCTTGGTATGGAGGATCATCTTCCCTACCATTTCCCATATCTGAGGTAAAAAGTAGAGGACCCTCTTCTTACCATGAGCTGCGTATCATTATCACGGTTCGACTGGTGTTGGTTGTGGTCATTTTCCCATTTATGGTCTGATATGACCTAACCACTTTACACCTGGGGTTCCTTAATTTCAAACATGTGTGTGTGGCTGGGCACTCTTCTTCTACCACAGACTGAAAGATACATTCCCAATGCTACCTGTTGATGAATTGGAGATGCACCCTCACTTTGCTGTCTGCTGGATATCAGTTCCCAGTGGATATGGTGATGGTTATGTTGGATGTGCACACATGATGATCCTGTGATTCCACTCTTATTGCTACACATTTTCCATGTAGTTGAAGAGTATACCTGGCTCAGAAGTGGTGATGTCTCCCATGGGTGTGTTGACTTCCTTTTATTTGCACACCTCATGACCTTCCTTTGGGTGCATTCTAAAGGGGGATCATCTTCCTACCAGACCAACCCTCAACTCAATGTGCAATTCAAGAGGCAAGACACTGTATCAGAAGTTAACATTTTCTTACATTGAAAATGTATTCCTGGTAGATACTTACCTCCCTTCACATTTCACTCCTGGCCTCCCAATTTCCGGTGTAGATTTTATATGTACTACCCAATCTCAAAGAGATTACAGCCTGCACAGAAGAGAGGGTGCTAGTTATGATAGGAGTTGTGTCACACTCATATTGGTGGAGGGTTGCCGTATGATCATTTGCATGATAGCATGCAGCTGTCTCGCATGAATACACTTATAGCTAGGTGGAAGTATCAAGGCTAATGGCGAGTAAAAATTTGCACTAAAATGTTGCAGTATATGTTTAGAAAAGCTGTATTTGTTCATAAATATTGAAAAGATCTTTAATATTACATATGGTGACATACAAAATATTGAGTTTAGTTTAATTAAAAAATCTTAGTTATTTCTATGGTCATAGGATAATATATAAATGAGAAAGGCATTTTATTTTCATATGTTTGCTCTGATGTGTGAAAGATGAAAATACAAGACATATGAAAAAAGTAAGGCATATTGTCATCTTATCCTTGACCAGGTATTGTTTGTAATGAATATTTCATCTTGATTTGAAAGGACATTTTTTGAAAAGCCAGATATTTTTATAGGTTTATTCTAGGGCCAATGAACAAGAAGCATGTGGTTGGTGGAAAGCAGTGGTCAAAATGACAAAAGGAGATTTTCATGTAGTGGAGTACCTTGGATGGGAAACAACCTATACGGAAATTGTTCCTAGTGACAGGCTACGTCATAAAAATACCAAGTTAGTAAAGAAGTTAACTAACTTTGTGTTGCATACACCCAGTTCTACAATAAAAAGTGATGGTTCATTTTGCAGATAATTTAATCAGGTAAAAGTTAAACAGTTGTAGACAGACATTTATTAATATACCACAAAAACATTACACTGTATTAATGAATGAAAAGTAGATATAATGCAAGGTAAAAGCCTATTGTGTGCATGATATTTAGTGTGGCATTATCATTTTTCATTGAAGGTAGCATATTTAGTTTTATGATGGATTAGTGATTTACATGGCAACCACATTATCATGTAATTTTTTTATGGTTCAAAGCAGGTTAAGAATAAGCTATTTGTGCTTATAGAATTATTTTAATATGTTTATTTTTCCTTTTAGTTCACCTATCACAAAGGGATCCTTTCATAAGTTTGAAATGGATGTACCTGAAGACCTTCGGGAATAGTGAGTAGATCGTAGAGTGTGCTGGTGTATTAATTTGTTCTTTCCAAAAAGGATACATTTAAAATTAAAAAACTATTAATCTTTAAGTGACAGGATTAAGATTGTGTGAAATTTATAGTTTATTGAAATACTTATTTTTAATAATTCAATGGTTGTAATAATTGGTTATGTGGAATAGAATACATGTATTTGATTCACTGTTGAAATGTAGATTCCTAAAAATTTAGTTTAATTAAAAAAAATCTGAAAACAAAAATAAATAAAAATATGAAAATATTAACTTCTGATCAAAGCAAACTACCTGCTTTCACTGAAACTAAAATTGAACCTGGAATTTGTAATGACTATAGCTAATTAAATATACTTATCTTATGTTCTTATTTATAAAGATTAGAATGCATTGTTTCATCAGTTGGGTACCCACTCTGTTAACTATATTTTGGATTGTAATCCCAGTAATATGTCATGAGGTTCTGTCAGCTTAGGAGCTTTATGTTAGGCCTAAATACATATACTTAGCTAACAGTGCAAAATATTCTTTATAATGAAAATACAACTTTAAAGGTAATTAAAAGAGATATACTAAACATTCTAACCAATAATGTTAATTCTACTTCCACAGTTCACATGTCAAAGGCCATGTCATTGCGTTTGTTGACTTGCATTCAAAATTTTATTGAACTACTATTTTATGAAATTATGTCAATAAGTTTGGTATCAAATTATAGATTATAATTCAAATTTTAGTGTTATATATTAGTTAGTTTCTTAATCTGTAAGTAAATATAAAAGAAACACAGTTTAACATTGATTTTTGTGTGTCATGTGGTATGTTGAATGCAGCACTGGTTCAAATTATATGTTTGTGATGTCAAAATACAAAGTTTATAGTTTTGTACAAATTAGGAACTTAAACTACTGATATTGACAAGCTAGGATTAGGATATAAAATAAGAACCTCTTATCATTTCTATTTGCTAAGATACCACTAATGTACTGAATCAAACACAGTGGCCCTCCTGCCCACCTCTTTCCATTTTTAGAAATGCTCCCTTATATACAGTTACTTCTATGTATGACATGAATAACCAGTCAAAAGCTCAGAATATTCCTATAGTGGTTTTCTCAGCCGCCTTGACATATTATTGTGTTAATCTCATTCTTTTCACACAAGATTTCAACTGCTAAGTCTTTAGTGAGATATCATATTTTTTTAGACCCAAATATAGCTTAGTTACTACACTTGATGAATTATAGTGGAATTCTATGGTATCGTTATAGTAATTTGGGATTTTTTTTTGTTATTTAAAATGTATATATAAAACCTAAAAAAAAATTTTCTTTTCACGTCCTCCATGTGGGAAATTTCATAAGGCTTAGCAACTTATGACAAGCAGCAAACAAGTACAAAGGTCATAACTAGAAAAGATAATTGTTTGCTTTAATTCTTTATTTACTGTTCTATGTTTTAAGAAAAGTAAGTTTAAGAATTTATTTGTAAATAGTATTAATGTATATACATGTATAATGTATAATATTGAAATGTGACTGTATTTTACAAAATCTAGTCTACTAAAAC